CTTATTAGCATGTTCATGTGTCGTAGCTTGATTCAATATCATATACCTAATGCTCTCACATGCTGGTTTATAGGTGTACTTCATTTGCTGTCATGGGTGTGTAACTTGCTGAGTGGCTCAATGATTGAGAGTCGACCTATGAACCAGGAGGTCACCGTTTGATTCCCAGTCAGGGTACGTACCTGGGTTGAGACAGCCAATCAATGATTCTCATCATTAATGTTTTTAACCTCCCTTTCCCTCTTTCTTCCTCTCTGAAATTAATTAAAAAAATATTTTTTAAAATGTATTCATTCATGGCTTTATTTAGGTATTTTATAATAAAGGAATGAGGTGGGGGGGGGCGTGAGGGGGAGAAATCTAGATTTTGAGGCAAAATTTTCAGAACAGAACTTTCGCAAATAGGGACTTGCAAGCATCCTTTGCCCAAGTCGTGGTTGTTTTCTCTTTCTCTCCCCCAGTTTGCCTGTTTCCCCACCTGCCATGAGTACGTGATTTATCTGAGCACCCCATGCCTGTTCCTATTTCAGAGGAGTCTGAGGCCATGGATGGGGGTAGGGAGCACTGGACTGCTCAGTGCCAGCCACAGACTTCACAGCTCAGTGAAACTCCTCGTGCTTCCTCAGAGCTCAATGTTATTCTTGGACTTTTGCTTCCTCTTTGGGTCTCAGCCCACTCAGTGTCTCCTGACTGTGGAATCACATGCCTTCCTGTACTTCGGAGTTTGAGCTTTATCATACCCCAGCTCTTTGGCAATAGCTGGAGTGTGGTTCCAATGACAGCAGTGGGAGAAGTCTCTCTATGGCTTTCCATCCACCGTCACATGATCCCAGTGACTCCCTGTGGACCTCCGATTTGACCCTCCAGTAGAGGAAGGCACCTGTCTCCTGAGACAGGCCCTTAACTGCTAACCACAGCACCTGGGGAGGACTTGAGTTTCCAAAGTCTCTGCAAACACACGCTCCCATCTGAGTCCCCCGGGAGGTAGGCGTTCCGAGTTCATGTGACAGGAGATTGCTAAGTGGGAGGATGCAGAAGTGTGGTTAGAGAAGACAACCAGAGTCCCTTCACTGGGCCTAGCCCTGCACCAGGTGCTTTATTCTCCTTGATCCTTTGAACAGACTCCAGGCAAATTGATATGAACTGCAGGTTTATTTTCTCCTCCAAATTCCTAGGGTGAAGCCCTAAAGCCCAACAGCTGCTAAAGGCAGTGGGGCCTTTGGAAGGTGACTAGGTTTATATGAGGTCATGAGAGTGGGGCCCCATGATGGTGTGACAAAACGGGTGACTAGGCAAGCCTGACAGGAACTAAAAGGAGTCACAAGGGAAGCTTCCATCATTAAATAAATAAATAAATAAATAAATAAATAAATAAATAAATATCTTAACTGAGCAAACTGTGGTGAGAAGTCATGCCCCAAGGCCTATTGGAGAGATTAATCTCTACCCCAAACAAGCCGTGTCCGGATATCTAGATTCTAGAATAACCTACTTAAAATGGCAGATAATCTCTTCTCCAGACCTTGGTTTGGAGACAACCCCAACATTTCTCATTGTTATCTTTTACCCGGATACGTCTGTAAACTATGCATGGGAAATGTTAACTGTTCTGCACCCATCAGTGTAAAAGAAGTGTGTCTCTATGTTACTTTTATTTATTTTTTTATTTTTTTTAATATATATATTTTATTGATTTTTTACAGAGAGCAAGACAGAGGGATAGAGAGTTAGAAACATCGATGAGAGAGAATCATCGATCAGCTGCCTTTTGCACACCCCCTCCTGGGGATGTGCCCACCAGGGTACATGCCCTTGACCGGAATCGAACCTGGGACCTTTCAGTCCCCAAGCCGACGCTCTATCCACTGAGCCAAACTGGTTTAGGCTCTATGTTACTTTTATCCAGTCCCGGAGATTTCCCTGCTTTGCTTTCTCCCACCTCCTTAAACTTCCACTAACGGGTCTCATGTAACCTTCCTTAGGCTCCTTTGATGCTAATGTATCAAATAACCTGCACAACTGCTGTTTTTCCAGAGCATGATCTCAGTCCCTTGAGATTTGACTTCTGGGACTAATCCCTAAACCCTTAGCTCATAAGACACTCTTGAAACCTTTCTTTAGATTTGGAAAGTCTTTCCCTGATAATGGGGTTAGTGTTCTTTTCAGAAGAGAGAGGGACTGGTGCTCTCTGCCATGTGAGGACACACTGAGCAGGAGGCTCTACAAGCCAGGAAACGTGCTCTCACCAGACTCTGCATCAGCGGCACCTTGATCTTGCACTTTCCAGACTCCCTGGCTGTGAGAAACAACTGTGTTTTGCTTAAGCCGCCCAGTACATGGTATTCTTGTTAAAGCAGCCCAAGCTGACTAAGGCAAAAACTAGGCTTAGAAAGTCAAGTGACACAGCGATATATAGAAGGGCAGGAACTGAAACTCAGTTTTGTCTCATGTTTAGTACTTTTGCCTACTTCCTATATTTGTTATTATTATTATTTTTTTTGATGAGCAACTGATTACCCAAAACTCAGTAGTTTGAAAGAATGACAATAATTTACCATCTCATAGTTTCTATGGATTAGGAATTTGGGAGCAGTTGTAGTTGGGCTGTTCTGGCTCAAGGAATCCCACTGAAGTGGTTTTCTGGGGCTCAGCTGGCATGGCACTAAGGAGGCACCCGGCTGTTCAATTGTTGTTTGAGATGATTGGCCCGTAAACACTGCAGTTTCATCCATAACAATCATGTTGTAAAGACTGTATTTAGAGAAGTCAGCATCATCAATAAAGGACTTGAATGCAAGTGCTCACTTAATAACTTGAGTATCTTCCAACCTAAACAATGTTATAGATCTTCTTAAAGACAGTTCACTTCCCTGAAGGAAATTATCCAGCCAGTGTTGTGATGCTTTGAAGTCTTCAGGGGCTATGTCAAACTGTGGTGCCATTTCAAGGGCAAATTCTTGAATCTGAGCCCTATTCACAACCAAAGCCTTTGCTCTCCTGTCAACAACCCATTCCAGGTCTTCCAGCTCGGAAAATAATGGTTGCTAACCTGATCCACACTGCGCTTTTTAGCATTTCCCTTGTCCACTTGTTCAATGAGGTTACCATACTCTGCTCGCCATTTTCGGACCAATCGGATACTCAACATCTTCTCTTGCAGAAAGCAGTAAGATTTTGGCCCCAAGAGTCTTCCACGATTCCTTTCTTGTACTCCACGGAGTAGCTTTTTCTTTTTGTGCTCATTTCTAGGGGTAAAAAAAAGGAATTGGGGTACCAAGGTGGGGGGAGGAGGATCACTTAAAATGACACAGGGGGGATCAGAGGGGAGAATCAAAATGGCACAGGAGAATCAGAGGGGGGATTACTATTTTAGTAACCCCTTTTGATCCTCCTGTGTCATTTTGATTGCCCCCTCTGATCCTCCTGTGTCATTTTAAGTGATTCCCCTCCCCCCACCCCTGTGCCACTGAACACCTTCACCAGACATCCCACCTACCTCTTTATCAGACATTTACCCCCTGGGGCCTGCCTGGGGACTGTCACTGGGCTTGCTGGGGCCTGGATCTGGGCTGGAGCAGGATCTGCCACTGACTGAGAACCTTCAGTCATCATGAGGGCGGCCAAGAGCATCAGGTAATGTCTCCAGAGACAGACCAGCATTTGCCACCTTCGCCGCATCTCGTCCGCTCTTCTACATGCATCTGCGAAAGTCTCCTTTTCTCTCTCGGCCTGTGCTACCGCTCACTCCAATCTACACTTTGCCTCTACACAGCAGTGACGTCAGGACTCTATGTAATGTCACTGGTTGCTAGATGCCAGTCGGGGTGGCCCTAGCGACCAGTTTAAGCTAAATTATTTTTCATTCTGAGACAGAGCCTGTGGGGGAGGAGGGGGCTTATTTTCAGGAAATGCCTTATATTTCACTCAGAAGGAAACCTGTAAGTAGGTCTTATTTTCAGAGGATGTTTTATTTTTGGGGAAACACGGTAGTTTAATTTCTCGTTGGTGAATACCTAAGAGTGGCATGGCTGGGTCATATGTAGGTGACAGTTCCAGTTGTTCTACATTATCCCAGTGGGTGTGCCCTGGCAGCTCATCGTGGTTTTAATGTGCACTTCCCTGATGAGTAATGGTGTTGAGCATCTTTTCATGTGCTTATTGGTCATTCATATGTCTTCTCTTGTAGAATGTTTACTCAAGCATTTTGCTTATTGCCGAAATTGGGCTATATATTTTCTGAGCGAGTGAAATGCAAAGTACAGAGAGGTTATAAACGTGTGAGTTATTCACACAGGGACAGTGGGCCCTGTCTGGTTTTCCTCTGACTTCTATGGTCCGCTGTCATGGGCCACGAGTCTGGTGGTGGTGGTGGGGGGCATTGTCAGGACCTGGGCAAATGTAGGAAAGAGGGTCACTTGGCAGAAATGTGGGGGGAAACGAGGTTGGCAGGCATCTCATAGCATCATAACTTCTGAAATAAGGCCCATGCGACTGGGAATGCCATTGAGTCTGACCACCTCTTCTTGCTCTTTGGTTCCAGCCTCCTATGGCTCCAGGTTAAAATGCCCTCAAATTACAGACACATCAATGACCAGAAAATTTGTCTGCAAAGTGTAAACAGCACAGGTGAATCCCATCTCCACACTGATGTCTGTGTAAAGCAGAAGCAGGTGGGACTGTGGGTTTGGTAGTGTTGGCTCTGCCACCTTAGAGAAGTTTTGTGACTCCCTGGGCAATGACTTTGCAGTGATTAGAATGTTAATAATTCTTTACGCTTATTGAGCATGCAATAGTTTAAAAGCATGTCCTTGCTTATTATATTCCTCCCCTTTGAGATGGGCAAGGCATTGGTCAGTGTTCCCATTTTACAGCAAAACAAACTGATGATCTGACAGGTCGGGAGCAGTACATCCAGGGCCCCTTCTCCAGTCCAGCAAGGCCTTGGTGGAGTCAATCCCAGAGCAAGCTCTAGCCTCACCTCCCGGTGAGCTCCCACATACCTCCGACATCATGGTTCAGGCCTGTCTTCTCTGTTTCCCTGTTAATCCCCCTTCCCATTTTTATTTTTCTCGGACAGTGCGTGTTTGTGCAATAAACAACAAAAAGAGAAACACTTGTGTTTACTGTTCTTTGGTGATAAATACACTTGAGCAAGTCCTATAATTTCAAGGGACCAGTTTCCTGGACTATGAAACGGGCAGCTCTCAGTCCTGTCCTGTCATTTTATGCAGATTCTTCCCTGAAACCAGCAAAGCTGGCGCCCAGCTTTTGTGTTTATTTCTAATCCAGGCCTGCGGGTGGGTGCTATGCAGTCACCAAGCAGTCTTCCATGAAGCAGCCCGGCCAAGCTCCTGGACCTACCTCACTTCTTACTAGAAGTCCACCCTTCCAGAGCCTGCGGAACCCATTAACTGTGTTAATGCCGACAGCGCCATCCTGCGGCCAACCTGGAGAACAGTAGCCATGCCCAAGAGTAAGTGAGGGATGCTCTGGGTGCGGAGGGGATGGGCAGAGCCTCATTTCAGCCGGATCCGGTCCTATTGGGTGGAAACCAACCCAGGCAGGGCGGGGCCTTCTCCCCAAGGAGGACGGAGGCGACTCGTGTGCCACCTGGAGCCACCTCCGAGGCTTCTGATGTTGTGGCCTAAGCTTTTCTCCTTTTCCAGGCGGCCCTGGGAGTGGGATTCATGCCCAGGGCTGTGCCTGGGGGAAGCCCTGTCTTGAGGTTAGCCTGGAACCCTCCCTTCGGTGCCTGCAGCCATTCATTCACAGATCAGGGGTGAGGATTACCTTTTCTTCCCTCCAGGCTTCCCTGGTCATTCCTGCCCCCTCCTTCTCCTCTTTCTCCTCCTCCTCTTTCTCCGCATCTTCCTTTTTTTTTATCTCCTCCTCCTCTTCCTTTTTTTTCATCCTCCTCCTCTCTCCCCTCCTCCTCTAACTTCCCTCCCCCCCCCCCCCCCCCCCCCCCCCCCCCAAAAAAAGAGCCTCCTTGACGGGCTGCATTCTCCAAGCCCTGCTGTGGGGCTCCTGACCCTCTAGGCTAGAGGACAAGAGTCTGTGCCTGCAATTCCAGATCCCATAGGGTGGCCTCAGCCTACTCTTCCAGGCTTACCGCCAACGACCCTCTGCCCAGGCAGGTGGGCTCATGGTCCCCCCAAACCTCCCGATTCATTTCCCACCTCCACACCCTTTGCAGAGTCATTCTCTTGGCGTGGAAGGCGTCTTCCCACCCTCCCCCAGCCCACCCCCAGCCCACTCCCCTCAACCCCACCAGCCCACTCTCCCCCAGCCTAATCTCTCCCATCTCAATGGGCCTAAATCTGCTCACTTAGAAGCCTCCCAGGACATCTGCCACCCAGGCTCTAGGACCAAAAGCTCAGGTTGAATGTGAGACTTTGGTCTGTTAATTATCTTACTGTTTTCTAAATAAAAGGTCAATCAATATATGTGCTATTTTAGAAAATAAAAAGAAAATTTAGAGATTCATCCTTTATCTCACTTCTCTGATACAACTACTGCTATTTCTAACTTAATTTTAATTATTATATTCCTCTAGACTTAGTTGTTGTTGTTTTCTCTGCAAATTCACGTACTTTACAAACTGAAGATCATAAATATTAACCATCTTCAATGTGCAAAAGTGATGCTTCTGCAGCTAGTTATTGAGCTTCCAGAAGGCAGGAACTCCTACTCATCCTTCAAAGCCCAGACCATGTCACTCGCCAACCACAGGACTCTGATTCATAACTGCACTCACTGGGTGTTGGTAACTCCTTGACCATAGTTTTATAACAGCACTTACCTTGCATTTGGTTATTGGTTTATGCTGACTCTCCCACTTGACTGGAACTCTTTGAGGATGTGGACACTGTCTGATAGATTTTTGTTTTCCTAACTGTTGAAGAGAAATTATTCTGTCACTTGTTAAAATGTCTTTTTCAAGAATAATGCAATGGGGTCATGACTATAGCAATAGGGGAGAGGGGTTAGGCTCAGCATCAAGTACAACAAAGACAAGTGGGGATTTATAGCCAAGGACCAGGTGGAGGTCAGTGGATGAAAAATGACTAAGAGAAGACAATAGCCCAGCCAGTGTTGCTCAGTGGAAAGAGTGTCAGCCTGCAGACTGAAGGATCATGGGTTTAATTCTGGGTTGCAGGCTTGATCCCAACCAATCAATGTGTCTGTCTCACACTGATGTTTCTCTGTTTCTTCCCCCTTCCTTCCACTCTATCTAAAAATCAATGGAAAAATACCCTCAAGGGTAGGGGGATTCTCCCTAAACTGAGTTAGCAGGATTGTTCCTAGAACTGGGTTAAGGGCCTGAAGACATAGTGGGCCCAGAGTCTAGGCCTAGTTAAGAGGAGAGCTCAGAGGAGTCTAAAGTTTAGTCAAGGAGAGAGTCTTGGTCGTAATACATATTCCCAGAATCTGTGCACAGTGTGTGACAAAAGAAGGTGTACAGTTGTGAGTATGCAAATCACAGTTTATTCTTGTATTATTATTTATGAATTATTATGTTATTTTCCATATGAACAACTGTATAAACCTATTTTTGCCCCATCCTGCATATGGAAATAAATATCACACAATACTTAAAACACATTATTGTATTTTTTAGCTATATTCTATTTTTTTAAACAAATATTTTTTATTTCAGAGAGGGAGGGGGAGAGAGAAACATCAATGATGAGAGAGAAGCATTGATTGGCTGTCTCCTCCTGCAGGCCCCCTACAGGGGAATCAAGCTTGTAACCCGGGAATTGAACCCTGAACCGATATTGAACCCTGACCTGGTTCATAGGTCAACATTCAACCCCTGAGCCATACTGGCCAGGCTTTAGCTATATTCTAAAAGAGTAATACTCATAGTTTTTCTCTAGGGCTTATAGACTTGAGAAGGAGTCTGGCACCATGTCAATCATTCTTGCTGCCAGAAGCCCTTTGTACAACAAAGAAGTTTTGTGAAGATAAGTGATCCACAGCCTAGCTCCTATCCTGGCATCTCAAACTTCTCAAATCCATTATCTTTATATATAAAAGCCTTAGCAACTGTTTGACCATTTGACCAAGGGGCATATGCTCAACATACAAGCATGAAAACATGGAACAGACTGATGAATCTCAGGGGATGGGGAGAGAGGGAAGAGATTTTAACCAAAGATCTTATGTGCATACTGGTGGGGTCCCTCAGCCTGGCCTGCAGGAATTTGGCCAAAACCAGCAGTTTGACATCCGATGAGGGGTCCCAGATTGCGAGAGGGCACAGGCCAAGCCTAGAGACCCCACCAGTACATAAATCAGTGCACCAGGCCTCTAGTTTATTTTATAAATATTTATTGAGCACTTACTATGTGGCAGGCACTGTTATAAGTGCAGAGATTATAACAAGTCCTTGCCATCTTTGAGATTTACATTTTATTGGAGGGAATAAGTCAATAAGCCAAATAAATTTGTAAAATATATAGTTCACCAGATGGATAGAAATAGAGAAGGGGCAGTCCCATCCTTAGACCTGGGCAGGAGGACTTGGCACTCACACCCACCCTAGTCCTCCTCCACAGTGAGGGGATGTGAACCTGGGAGCCTGAACCACCTTTTATAGACCACTCTCTGGTTACCCAAGACTTTAAATGTTCCTGTCCAGTGGCTGAGTCCACATCAAGGGCTTGCATGGGTTTCCTCTGGGCCTGACCTTAGGGCATGGAGTACAGCACAGCCCAGGTGTATGTAACCTAAGCCTGAGGTGTGCATACTTGCAGGGAATGTTCACATGTATGTGTGAAGCTCCTTGAGGTGCCAGGTGGAAATGGGGGTGGGACGAGAAAGGTGTGTGCAATACTTTGGATACCACCATTTTTACTCTTGCTCCAAGCTCTATAAACGCTAGGGGCTGGCCTGGGAAGATAAATATAGGGGCTTTTGAGGGCGGTGGCTCTCACTGTAATTCTATTTTATCTTTAAATATTTTTATTGATTTTACAGAGAGGAAGGGAGAGGTATAGAGTCAGAAACATCAATGAGAGAAAAACATTGATCAGCTGCCTCATGCACGACCCCTACTGGTGATCAAGCCAGCAACTGAGGTACATGCCCTTGAATGGAATCAAACCTGGGACCCTTCAAGTCCAAGGACTGGTAACTCTATCCACTGAGCCCGACCGGTTAGGACTATCATTGTCATTTTAAATAGGATGGTCAGGAAAGGCTTCATGGAGAAGGTGACATTTGACTAAAGACCCAAAGAATATGAGGAGAGAAGTGATGCGAATGTCTGTGGAAGAGCCTTTCAGGCAGAGAGAAAAGCAACTACAAAGAGGCAGGAGTGTGCCTGGCTGCTCCCCAGCCACCTCAGCCCACGGGGACCTGCCAGATTTGAAACTGTGTGAAACCTAAAAGAAATAGGCCCTCTGTCAATGCCGAATGGAGTGAGTGAGTGGGCCAGCCTCCTTGAGGAGCCCCTCCCAGCAGCACACACATGCGTCTTCCTTCCCTGCCCTGGGTCAAGGGCCATTTCTGGGCCAGTTCTGCTCTCATCCTGATGACCAGCGACTGCTTGCTTTTCAGGCCAGGATGTCCCCAAACTTGCTGTTTGTAAAAACTTACTCCAGTTCCTTCGGAACTCTTTCCTTATCTCCTCTACTTTCCTGTTTTCCTTTCCTGCCCAAACCCTTAATTTCCCCATGGTTGCCCCACACGTCTGCCTGTCCTCAGGGACGCCTGTGTCTCAGACGTGGCTGCAGTCACAGAGCTGAGAGGGGGGCAGCTATGTGTGTCTGAGGGTGGGGGACCACGGATCCCTGACTGAGGGGACAGGGGTGAGCCCTGAGGAAGGAAAGACTCAGAGGTTGGAGGCTTGACCTGGTCTCAGCTGAGGGGATGTGGGAGGGTGTTTACAAAGATAAGAGGCAAAGAAGAAGAAGAAGAAAAAAAGAACCTTATTGAAAAAAAATATTTTAAAATTTTATTTTAGAGAGGAAAGGAGAGGGAGAGAGAGATAGAAAGATCA